AAGTGATCATTCCCATGTACTTGGCACTGGTGAGGCCGCACCTTGAATACTGTGTTCAGTTTTGGGCCCTTCACCACAGGAAAGACATTGAGGTGCTGGAGCATGTCCAGAGAACGGCAACAAAGCTGGTAAAGGGTCTGGAGCACTTGTATTCTGAAGAGTGACTGAGGGAACTGGGGCTGTTTAGCCTGGAGAAAAGGAGGCTGAGGGGAGACCTTATCGCTTACCAACTGCCTGACAGGAGGGTGTAGTGGGGTGGGTGTTGGTCTCTTCTCCCAGGTAATGGGTGATAGGACAAGAAGAAACGGCCTCAAGTTGCGCCAGGGGAGGTTTAGATTAGACATTAGGAAAAATTTCTTCACTGAAAGACTTATCAAACATTGGAACAGACTACCCAGGGAAGTGGTTGAGTCACCATTCCTGGAGGTATTCAAAAGACATGTAGATGTGGTTCTTAGGGACATGGTTTAGTGGTGGACTTGGAAGTGCCAGGTTAACAGTTAGACTTGATGGTCTTAAAGGTCTTTTCCATGACAATTCTATGATTGTGAATGAGATCCTAGTGAGGCTACTTCTGCCAGCCAGGGTAGGCTGACTACTCTGCTGTACTACATGCGCTATAAGAAGACGTACTCTGATATTCTCAGGCAAAGGAGGGCTACAAGCTCATTCACTCCCACATGATCACTGCTGGATAGGAAAGTCTTGATTTCACAGGTTATAAGTGTCCTATAACTGGGATCCAGACCTACTCTGAACTCTAGTTTGAATCCTTGCATAGGAGACCCACAGGAATTTCCTCAGATAATTTTCTTCCCAAACAGGAATATTTAGGTCACAAGAGCCAAGAAACTACATAGACCCCTGTCTCAACTAAAAGGTAAAAACTCTAAATCTTTCCTTTCTCTTTCCTTCTGTATTAGCAAGCCACTCTCTTATCCCTCTATGTTCCATCCACCCCTGTCTAAGTGCTGTGGTGTGACTTGTAGGAGGTGTGTTTGCCTGTCCAAGTGTGTTCCAAGATTTATTACAACTGAAAAAGGCCACTGACCTGCAGGAGATAATGGTTCAGTATTGACTATCTTACCCGGATCTGCAAGTCGCTGAGGTCAAGGCATCTGCACATTTCCAGGAAGAGCTTCACACCCTCCTCATCTAAGATTATATAGACTGGGATCCAGCGCTTATATGCTGCATCAACAATATCACGAAAGATGTCCCGGTCTGTAAATACATCCATGACCACTGCAATAATCTGGAAATAAGAAGACAGCAGATGGACAACTGAATAAAATATTAGGAACTGAAAGGGATGCTCATCACACTGGTGCCAAATAAAGGAGAGCACTGATACCAGAATATGGAGAAGGACAATATAGGGGAGACAAAAGTACAAGGTTGTACATGCCCAAGCACTACCAATAATCTTGTAATTTTCTGGCTTGGCTCCTGCTGCACTTTGGCAGGAACTTAATAAATGTCTTTGAGAGTTCTCCTTCTTCTGGGGGAAGATGGCTTATTTCAGCAGCCTGAGGAATGCCAAAGCCAAATACCTACTTTCTCCTCTGTATTGTGAAACTTTCATTGCCTCTGTAAGGATCCACTTAAACAAAGAACACCACTAAAAACAGATTGAAAAAGAAGAGTGAAAAGCACAGCTCTAACTCTTAATCAGAAGGTGAGTAATGGAAGAATGAATGTGCAGAAGAATCAGGGCCTGATCCTCAGCCATGGTGCATAGCGCAGACAACATGAATTTTATTTTCCTTTTTTTCCCAATTCCCTGTGAGGAGTCTGCTCTCAGGAATGACTTTGTGAGGAATGTCTTATGGACCTCAAACATAAACACCTCATATTTGTCAGGAAGGGACTAGAGTGTGCGTTGAAGAGTTGGAGGCAAAATGATCATTCCCTCTCTTCACATGCACATTTTTTCTGGTACAAAACTAATCCCTCTTTCCAAGCATAGATTTTATATAAAAACAAAAGGTTGCGCTGACGTGACAGACAAGCCCGAACATTCATAAGATGAGTAACAACAAAACCAATAAGGTTATGGGCAACTTTAATGCTGAGCTTACATGTTTTGTCTTTCTCTCCCTTTCTGTATCTTTTACACCATTAAAAGTATCAAATTTACTTTTCTGCCTGAAAAAGTTTTTCTCCCCAGCATTTGAAAGGCTGTGAATGAAGGAAATGATGGCTTTCTTAGTCCCACTGGGAAACCTCAACTTGCCAGCTCAGAGCTCTCATGCTGACAGTATGTTGGGAATAGAGTTGCCTAAATTTTAATTTCCCAGGCACTGGAGGTCACAGTGATGAGCTGAACTGTGCTGGGGATGGCACATGGAGATGTGGATGGAGCTGAAGACTGGATTGAACAGTAGGACTTTCTTCACTTGAAGTTTGGAAGAGGTGCAGCTCAAGTTGCAGGAGCCCCCTATGGAAGGGAGAATAATTCTCACCAGAGACCTCTTTCCTTTGAAAAATGCCCTTGAACAAATTGCTTTTGGAAAAGCGATACCATAGTAGATGTCCCCTACTGTGTTTGCTGAGTCTCCCCCTGTACGGCCAACAACAACCAACACATCTGTTCTGTCAGGCTCCTTCTGCCAACAGTGCTTACATAAGCTTTGCTTTGTTAGAAAAAGAAAGAAAGAAAAAAAAAAAGCTGACATTGCATTTATGCTCATCATTAACATGTATGTTCCCAATACAGGTGAACTATGGTGGAGCTACATTATAAACTAACAAGTAAGTCAGTCCCTCAATAACTTCTGCCAGGCAGAACTTGATTTCAGGTCCTGCCTTGGTTCTCACTTCCCAGCACAAAGCAGTGAGATGCAGGGATTGTTACTAGAACCTCTGAAAATTAAAATACAGTGAACTCGTGCCACTTTATTCCTGAACAATTTCATATGCAGGCAGATTATAATTAAAGGCATGAAGAGTTCATGCATTAATTCAGGCCTGTTATGCTCCCTCTCCCCTCCACACACTGTGGTATGGAGGTAGTTATTTAGGAGCAAGGATGCCAGATAATACTCATTTGAAGTAAGAACATCCACACAGGGATTTGATCAAGAACAGACAGCAGAAGTGTGAATTTGTTTTCTTTCCGTCCCCTCCATTTGCGGTGAGTCCAATGACTGCAAGAGATTACACCATGCCCTGGACAGACCATTAGTTGTTAGTACTGGCCCTGCAATACGGAGAGATGGTTCCCTCCAGGCTTTTGTGTGCTGGGTCAGTTCAGGCTTCTTTGCAAGACTGTGGACTAAACCCAGCAAATCTGCAGTCCTGTATGAAAAGCAGATGAGCTGCCAAGCCAGCAAATTGTGAGGGGGGCAACCCCACCGTTGGTACGTTAGTCTTCCCAAACCCCTGCCCCAGGTGGTGATCTGTCAAGATTACCTAGGAGCGTTCCCAAATACAGCAAGTCAGAGCATGAGTGTCTACCCCTGCAAGAGGTGTTGCCCATTCCTCTACCTATCCTATGGATAACAACTTATCTATAGGGCTCATAGGTGTGCCTAGCTCCTCACAGGTATTTACAGATTGGCAAGCATTAACTTGCCAATCTCACTGTGGCAAGGTAGCTTAATTAGCATATGTTTGTAAAACACCGATGATAAGCCACCCACAGACATGTGCCATAGATCACTAGTATCTGTTTAGAACCCCCTGCCCCCCCAAAAACCCCAGACAAACAAAACCTACTCTAATCTGCTGAATGAAAAGCTGCTACCTGGAGATTTTTTTTTTGCCAGGGCCAGCTCAGTTGAACACAATAGGCATAGTTATCTACGGGAAAAGACCATTAAACACTTAAACGGCTGTTAAACATGAAACCACCTTTGAGCTGGGAGGGGCACAGTTCACCCAGTCAGTGAAAAAGTAAAAAACTATGAAGGAATTCATTACTTTCAGGTGTCAGGCACAGCTATCGAAAAGCTAAGTTTCCCAGTCCTCACACAGTCCGTAGAGGCATTTGCACACGCGAAGAGGATGTAAAGTTGCACTAAATCGGGAGTGTAAGCATTTTACAGCTTCTGGCTCTTCTAAACAACTGATCACACCAGTCACTGAACAGGATTGCGGGGTGTGCACCTATCTCTGCAAGCAGGGAGCTGAGGAGATCACCCACTGGATTAATGCCTCTCTGGAAAGTTTTCGGTGTTTCCCAGCAGATTTGGTTTTAACAAGTCTGCAAAAGTTGTGCCTGTTGTGTCTGCTGCAGGGCACACAGGGAGGGGAGGAAATAACTGCTGAATTAGGAAGCAGAAAAAACAGAAAGCAGCAAAACTAAGGGCAGGTTTTTTGAAGCGTCTTATGCTGTTCTCCCCTTTCCCCAGGGGGATGTCAGCTCTGAAGGGGATTCTTTCCTGAGTGGTCTTCCCTAGGAACTTCACCCAGACGGAGAAAAACCTCGTCACTGCCTCTACGTATTCATCGCAAGCTCCTGTAGCATCACGGCTGACTTGTTTTCTTGCAGAGGTGCCCCGTCACCACTAACAGTCCTTTCCAGCCAAAGATAAAAAGGAGGAGCAGACACATATTCTCTGGACTCTGGTTGCTTGCAGTCCAGGCTGGATGGTGTTGAGACCACAAAAAATAAACCCCAAAACCACCGCCCCTTAAACAAACTCGCTGCCCTGTGTTTAACTAGGGATACCTGCACGTACAGGAGGGGTGGCTGGCACAGCATCACGACCTGTCTTCCCCTGAGCCAGTGAACCATGAAAAGCAAAACACGGATTAAAACCGCCATTTGGGGGAATGCAGGGATTTAACCCCATCCTGGGCATCAGCTTTGGCAAACCATAACGTGACCGGCTATGAACTGCAGGGAAAGCCCTGGTGGATGCCAACCAGCTGGAGGGCCAACGTTTTGGAGGGGGCCAGCAAGGAAAGCCCATCGGTGGCGGGCTCTCGCCTCCCTTCCACCCCACACGCCCCCCAAGCTGGACCCTCTGCCCAGGTGCCGTGAAGGCGGGCAGGGGTGGCTCATGGAGGGCACCCGCTTGGTGTGGCAGCCGGGCCCTACCTTCTGCGCTTGCTGGATCATCTCCCGCACCACCTCCTTCAGGTGGGGCACGCTCTCCTCCTTGCGGGGGTGGGTGAAGAGGGCCACCCGGCTGATGCCCCGGTAGAAGGTCTTGTCGGTCCAGCCCAAGTCCAGG